CTGCAAAGGCTGAAAAATCTTGAAGACTGTATCAAATTGGAGGTAGTTTGAGGATTAAAATTTTTTATGCTTTTTAAGCTKAAAAAAGGGTGGGTCGTATTATACATGAGATCATATTATACATGAATAAATATGGTAATTATTAAGTGACTGAAAAATAATTTGAGAAATAATAGCCACATATTCAGTATTTAATGTCTCTTATTTCACTTTCACAAATATAACAAAATTGCTGTGGTGAAGCAGAACTTTAAATGCTTTGCAAGGGATTTATAAGTAAGTTTATTCATTTATTTTTTTAAACGATTAAAAAAACATTCTTCATGTTATCCTTTTGTAAAATAAAAATGTTTTAGAGTAAGGATACAAACAATTAATCGAACCAAAAAACATTTTTTAGGAAAATGTCTGCTTATCAATTAATTTTTAGTTGATCGATAGTATCATTCAACTTTAGATTAATTCATTAATTAATAACTTGCATTTCAACTTTAGAGTTGATCTGAACATAAAATGTTTCGTAAAGAAACATAAAACCTACAAACAGTAACTATTTGTGCAAACTTTCTTGTTGAAGGAGATCTGTTCTCATTTTTACTGCAGTTTTGGCTGAGCCCCTCCTTGTTTACAGTGATTTATCRAAAACAGACAAAACTTTTTCATTTTTTCTGAAGGAATATCTGATTCTGCACACAGCAATGAAATCTTGGATAAATTCACACCTCGCTTCTATTCATGTAGCTGAATGTTGAGTTTGCATGTGTGTCTGTTTCACACTAGCATGTTTCTTCTCTTTCTGATGTGGGCCTTTGTAAATGGTCATCACATGTATTCTTACCCGTTCAGTCAATTGGTAACAAAATTTAGAGAAACGTTCTCCAGATTTGTAAAAATGGCTGGGGTACTGTCCGTCTGTTCGTCCAGGATCAGGTCGCGGGGGCAGCAGCCTAAGCAGAGAGACCCCAGGCTGGGGTACTGTTCTGCCCTAAATTTTGCGCCAAGCTTTGTGTTTTTTAATTTGGAGGATGTTGGTGTCATGGTGAGCATCTTTTTTTTTACTTGTGTTGAGAAGGAGAACCCACCCTGTAGGTAGAGGAAGCGGCAGCGGCCAAAATACCCCCAGAAATTCACCCAAATGAGCCGTTTCCATGAGATTCCTTGTTTTGTTTTGGATTCCATTTTGTTTGGGAAATTCTGTTATTCTGTCTGTGTTTTGGAAATCACAGGACCTTACATTCCTTGGAGGAGTTTAAGTTGTGTATTTTATTAGACTCTCGTTGATTTGCTCTCCTCCTCTGCCATCAGGCCAAGTATGATGCCAACCATGAGAAGAAGCTGCTGCCGGTCAGCCAGCAGGACTTGATGTCCTTCGACAACCCCATGCTGGAGAAGACCCAGTCCAACGGGTCAGTGCCTTTCTCCCACGGCAACAACATTCTGACCGACCACTTCCAGTACAGCCGGCAGGCCTACACGACAAACCACACCAACAACCACCAGTATGTGGTCTAATGGAGGGCTCGGACCTCCGACTGGGTCGAGATTCTTGTGTGCCGCCCTTCGGGCAACGGGTCCTGTCGTGTGCTTTATACTTGAGACTGAAGGCACGTCCTATTGGTCATAAATATTTAAAACCGAGCAGATAAGCAGGCTGTGAAAGGGCCGGAGATGCTTCTCATTTTCTAAACCTCATATTTTTACAGCCCTGCTGTTTCCTGTTTGTTTTATGTTCAACAACTCGGAGGACATTCATCAGCCAATTTCAGTTAGATTAAACTTTATTATGTAGACGGGTCAGATTTCTTTTAGTTGTCTGGAAAAGGCAAATATTAGCTTTTGTCTTTTTTTTTAAAGGTGACATATCATGCAAAATCTACTTTTTTTGCCATTAAGTACATTTTGTTTTATACTTGGTGTCTCTAGGAGTGCAGAAAATTATAATTTATTTTTTCCTGCTGCTGCAGAGATATCTTTATGTTCTGTTTGGGTCATCTTTTGCAAACTGTTCTGTTCTCTTTATTTTATATGATGTTTTCTGAACAATTACATCACAGTATTTGTGACAGAACTGCTAAATAAGGTCTGAACTTACCAACTACAATTTGGTGATCTTCACTCTCCTCTGTGAGGCTGGATGGACAAGTCTTCCCTTGTTGACATCTCTTATTTAATTTGTGAATAAAACGTTTCTGCGCCGCTATATAGTCACAAACCCCTTTATCAAAGTAGAATGGACCACTCTGGATGTGGGGAGGGGTGTAAAGCTCCTCATTTGGATTTAAAGAGACAGCCTCAAAACGAGTTGATATGAGACACACCTCAGAAAAGAGGAGAAAGAGGGGCTTGTGGAGTTACAATAAGGAGGAATTCAAACCAAAACCTTACAGTTCCACTTTAAATAGACCCAAACTGAATGATTTAAGTGTGAAAAAGGAGGATTTAAAAGCATGATATGTCTCCTTTTAAACCATCTTTATGGATTTAAAAATAAGAGAAAGCTGTCTTGTTACATTTGTAACAAATAAAAACTAATCTGTAGTTTGGGACGTTCATTTTTCTTCGTGAGGCACTTGTTTTTGTTGTGAGAAGAAAACAAACCGGCTTCAGTAAATAAATCTTTAGTCTTGAGTTAAATGTAGGCATCATTTATTCAAGCAGTATTTAAGCTGTTTAGTGTTGACGATGCTGGTTAGTTTGTGGTGTCGCAGTTTGTGAGAGCTCAGTGGACAGGTTGGATCTTGTTTCATTGCCTCGTTTGTAGTCATCATAGCAGCTTTGTTCAGTTTTTATTCAAGTTGTAGCATCGGCTGAATGAAGTTTGGGGAATTAAATACTTTTAATATTAGTATGATTTTGATTTTTGTAGCTAAAGACATAAAGAAAAAGTCTGTGGTTTGTAAATCAAAACGCAAAGTTTGAGATTTTCACCAACTTTAGTTTTGCTTTGTTAAAAGTTTGATCATCAGATGGTGAATAACAGAAAACCTCCACATGTCAGTGCCTTTGTGAGTGTTCTTCATGCTTTTAGAGACAGAACACAGATTTAATTAGTCTAAACTCGGTGTCATCGGGGGGGTCACTCAGAAAAAGTGCCTGATGAAGAAAAATGTCCAATGAAAACGAATCTCGTCACTGTGTCTGGACAAAGCCAGTGAGTTTTATTTTTATTTTGCATACTCAGATCAGTGACGGTTACTTTTTTAGCTCCTCGTGGAAGGGTTTTTGAAAACACAAAGTGTTTACAGCTTCGAATGGGGAGCGATATCCACCGTGCTGTTCAGAAAGGTCAGTTTCCCCAAAAACCTGAGATGTTATTACTTTTTATTAAAACGTATTCATAGAATTTTTGGCTCAATGTTCCAGTTTGTCTGCGGGGATGTCTTTATCAGACTGGCATTTAAGTCAGATTAGATTTGTTTCAGTTTCGTTTTAGGCTAAAAATCATATTTAAAATCATGCAGTTTTTTATATACTGTATATTCATAGGTTTCTGAGTTATAATTCTTACATTTTCTTTAAAGCTGCTTGAAATATTTATTTTCTTTTGAATTTAAGGTCCGTGTTTGGTTTGCACTAGGGTTGGGCAATATTGGCAAAAAAATTAAGCACGATTAATTGTGGTATTTAGCCGATAACGATTAATATGACAATTAATCCCCTGGAGTCCATTTGTCCTAGTCACATGACCAATTTAGTGGGAAAGATTTGCTCTTCGTAAAAAATCTGTTCCAAATTTGTCAAAATTACAGACTTCAGGCTTTACATCAAATTTTAATTTTTGTTGATAGATAAATAAATCACAGAACTTTTTTTATGTTCTTCATGTTTGAAGCAGAGTGGAGCACCGAGCGMACTCTGCCTGGTGGCAMTAATCGTATTAATCGTCAAGTGCCAAAAAAGAATCGATTAATGTTTTTCTGACGATTAATTGCACACGACACGATTAAGCCCAACCCTAGTTTGCACATCTTTAAARGTGTTTCTCAGATCATCTGTGACTTTATTGTAGGTTGAAGGGTTTGTTTTGACAACTTGAAATGAGCCATGCATGGAATCAAAGCATTGATTTGTGCAATCAAAGCTGAAACTGTAATATCGTCATCGTCCTTACTGATTGTAGTGTTTATACAACTGATAATTATTTTATTTAGAGTAATTTTCACTGTTCGAGGTACTACTTTAGGAAACAGACTTGCGTATTTTGTCATGTTGCTCGTTGTGCTTCCTCTGATTCACGCTCCTATTTTATTTTATTTTTTTATTTGATTTTATAAATGGCTGCTTTAGAATACAGCACGCATTGTAGCCTCTGAGCTTTATCTTTTTTTTTTTTTTTTTGGTCATTTGAACCTTTCTGTAGATGTTCGTAAGTGTACAGCCTTGTTAAATTATAATAATGAGGCTTTTTCAAACATTTTAACATTTAAAACCCTTTTAGATTCATAAGAATTTAAATGTAAACTGACAAGTGTCTCATTAATTGTTTACTCCTGCATAAATTTACATGGAAACCACCTCTTCCTGATTAACTGAAACGACAAGCTTTTGTTAAAATGTATTCATTGGATTTTGTTGCAAAACCCTGAGCTTTAAATCTGTGTGAAACGAGACAGTGTTGCTCATGAGAAAAAAAATTCTGAGAAATAAAAATGTATTTTTTTAGCTTCATCAAATTGTTTAATCTCACAACACGTTCATCTGAATTAATCAAAATTTGAAATTTGTTTGCCAGAAAACAAAACCCTGCAGATTAAAAAAATATATATTTGAACAGGAAGATAGAGTTGTGTTAAAAATAACTTTTTTTTAATTTTATTTTAACATAAATATCTTGCAGCTTGTTTCGAGGTAGTAATAGTACTGTAAAAGTCTAGGGATGTTTTCACCATTAAAAAAAGCTTTTAGAAAAACAAAAAAGTGTTGATTTTTAAGGTAAAATCTAAAAAAAAAGACATATACCATACATAAACACTTACTATAAGCCTGTTCATAAAATCAAATTTAAGGTTACTCTGCAGCCTTGTGATCAAAAGGATGTTTGAGGGTTGTTACAAATTTCTTCATTAAAAAGTAAAACTGCAGCCGTAATTTTAGATGCAGCAGTTTGGAATTATAGACTTCAACCTTTTCCATCATTTAAGAAATGAAGACGGTCATATAAATTGATTTAATCCTTTGTTTTGTTCATGTTTAGATGTAATTAGTTGTGTTTTTGTGTGTGTGTTTTAACCTTTTTTAAGCCAGTGCAGCCAAAGGTGGAGGCCTTTGTTTTCAGGTTGCTGAGCTGTAATATTCATGTAAATCTTTTTTTTTCAGTGTCAGTTTGTCTCTGTACAGTGGACAAAAATTGTGTAAAAAAAGTTAACTCTGTTGTAAAGCTTTTCAGAAGATAATGAGTGTAAAGACGGAAGAATTATTTGTAAAATTTGTAAAAATATATATTATTTTTGTGTCTTCAATAATTCTTGAAACACATTTTTTTACTTCAACTATGTTTATAGATTTTTATGTTGTGTAGGTGCAAACGTGCACAGCTGTGCACTCGAGTCTTGTCTGCTTGGGTTTGGTAGATATTTTTTCAAATGTCGGGGAAATAAATACATGAAGGGAGACTGAACATGTCGCGTCTTCTTTTATTTGTTGGCTATTATAAAATAAGAATGATAATAATTTTACTTCGAAATCCAGTTTGATTCATCAAATATTATTTTTAACTGCATTAGATCCAAAAAATGCAGCATTTTTTTAAAAGTTATTTTTTAAATGAAATGTGACTGACTGCTGGTGTAACAAACAGGTCCTTTTTTTAATCGGCAACCATCACAACCACAATGTTTTTATTCAAATGACTGCCGTTCAGTTCGTTCCTTTTTTTTTTTTGTCACTTCAGTAGAAAATGAAACCAAATATTATTAGTTTATTTATTTCATCATCAGTGACTTTCTTAAATTATTTTATTTTATTTTTTAAAGTGAAGAGAGAATAGAGAGAGAGAAAAACAGAGAGAAGTAATTAGATAGATTGAAATAGCGATTAGAAGTATATTAAATATACACCAACAAAACACAGGACCACACACCCAACATCTGTCCGTTGACCTGAAAAATAAATGGATAAATACATAGAGGACATGTATAAATATATACACATACACATTCATATACATATATAGATATACAAACATGCATGCCTACATTCATAAATATTGTC